ACCCCGGTGCTCGGCACACTGCGTTCGGAGGATCCTTTTCCCTGCAGAAATGCAGGACAGGTTGGGTCACAGGCAGGGGCTGTTGTGTGTGCGGAGGGCTGCAGCCGGCTGTGCCGGGACGGGGGCATTAACTCCCATCACATCAGCTCCACACCCAGAGGTGCCGGTGTAAATAGCGCGATTGCATTGCAAACCCCCTGGAGTTGTGTCCTGTGCGGGTCCTTCCTCCCAGGCTGATGCCCTTGTTTGGCCTCGGGGATTCTGCTGCTGCATCCTTCAAGCTCTGGAGCAAAGAGGGTCGGGAATTAGTCCCTTAGGAGCATGTTGTCTCCTGCTATTTTTGCTTTTTACAAAATCAGTTTTTATGATGACGTGCCCATAGGATTATTTGAGGTCAAAGTGTAGCAAGCTAAGTGGAATATCCCCATGAAAGGGCACTACACTGAGTGCTGTTATGTCACATCTTTATGATGAATGAGTGAATAAAAAAGCTGATGTGGAATCTGCATCTGTCTGCATCGTACAAGGGGTAGTTTAACCATCCCAACCACCATTGCTCATAGTGGTGTCTGTCATTGCCAGCACCTTTCCACTGCCTTTGGTAACGCTAGAACATCCCGTCTCACTTTACTTGGAAAAGTGAGACCAGTAATTCCTGGTACTACATGTGCCCCGAATGTAAATACCGCTGCTGGCAGTCGCTGCTGCCGCCGAGACTTGCTCATCTTTAATGGCAAGGACAAGGGCGAGGAACGTGCTCGTTTTCAAAGGGCGTAATTTGAAAGAGTCTCTTGCAAACTTGGATTCCATGAACTCTGCTCTATCCTCGTCTCGGTAAACAATTAAAACTGTTGATGAGCTTTATCTGCTGCTTGAGATTGTTGCAGCCCCGGACTAGAGGATGCGGTGACGTTATGTGATGGTCTGAAGACACCTGCCAGGCACCTTGGCGATGGGTAGGTCTGGAAATTGTGCTGCACAGTATCAGCTTAGCCGTTTCTGACTTAACACACACTGTGAAATCACTGTCAAGTGTTTCATTTTTTCAAAAAGAGCCATTTTTAGCTTCAAGCGGCAGTTCTGGTTGGATGATAGCTCCGTAGATGGCATGGCCTTGCTGAGACCTGCTGAATTCTTTTTTGCAGTGGTTTTGTCAAGCCGTGGAGCACCCCCGCACCGTGCCGTGTTTCTGACAGGACAGTTGGGTGTTGTTGGCAGCGAGGGAGTTCACACAGACCCATGTTTTTGTTAGAGGAGACCCGTTCCTTAGGTTATTTGCGGCCTGTTGCGCGAGCGTAGGCGCTGTTCTGTCTGCAGCCAACACAAATACGGCGCACGGCAAAAAAAAACCCCCTGATCTTGCAGTGCTGTCCTGGGCGTCTAAATGCAGCGCGGGGGACGCGTCCCGTTTG